GTGTTGCTTTTCCGTTTGAGTCGTTCAAAAACTTTTTGAACTGTTTCAAGATCCTCAACTGCCTCAATATTTAAAACACTTTTTTCTGTGCAGTTCACTTTCTTTGCTGTTCACCGTGTATTTATCGTTTTACACGTCCAGTAAAGAGCGCGAATCTTCGTTAACCTTCTGGGTTTCAAAAAGCCACACCTTTAATCGAAGACTTATTTTTCTTTTTTTGCTCAAAGTTGAAGTTTATAGGAATAATCTGTAAGCACTTATTGTTAGTACTCTACGGCCCGTAATAAGTATAACTAACCTATACAGCGCATTGCGATACATTTGCGAACGATAATTAATATACTACAACATACACACTTATAAATACGTAAATGTATGCGTGCACGCGCGCACGCACACACACGCACATACATACGCGCGCGCGCGCGTACATACACACTTATTTTTTCATTTCTTTTATTATCAATCAAATACAATCTTGTATAACATTTTTGATATCTGTAATAAAACATACGATGAAAAGTCGGATAGACTTCTTTCCCAGACAGACAATCATGCTGTTTATGTCCTACTTCTGTATATAACACAATATGACTCAATATTTAAAAAACAAAGAAGAAAACGAGTGTATAAAATCCTTTGCACTATATAGCAAGTCGAAGAGTAATACACATTAGCATACTATTTCCATCTGGGTTATTACAGAAAGGTATTTACAGTCCGTATTTGTTAAAGCTAAGAGTGCAAAAGTTCTTGGCTATTATTTCATATTAATATATTCCGATAGACATCCCAAGTGGATTTCTATCAAATATTACAAAATATAAGAAAATACACTTGTTGTTTAAAAATACGACTTTTTCATGAAATAAAGGAAGTACTATGTCATATTGAAAATCAAATGATATTGTTGATAATTAGGACTTCGATAATAATGTGTGAATTTCAAAATGTATACCGAATATCTTTATGAAGTAACACAAAAATAAGAGCGTAATTTTATAATTTGTTTTCCTACATTTGTTGCGAATGTTGTACTTGTAGGAATAATGTGATTTAGGAGTTATAATTATATCTATTTAATACTGCTTAACACTCTTCGTATAAAATATATTCAGAAAGCTAAGCATAAATATAATATTAATAATATTCAAGTACAACCTGTATGCAATTTAAAAATGCAATATTACGTAGTTATTCAAAAAATTACATTCTTTTAGTTATGTAGAACGATATTGCACTTTTAAACAAAATGTTTGTCATGGATATTGTTTCGATATGTAATTTACTTTCGTAAAATAAAATATTAAAAAACAAGTAGTATTTTGACTCGTTCAATTCTCTAGCTCAAATTGTAAAATATTCATTCACATAAGCTCGTACAAGTGTTTGTGATGAAATATGTGTCTTAAGATATTTAAATATAAATCTGACTAAATTAATGAAATTTGTTTCGATGCATAAAGTGTCAAATATCAATGTTTGATTTAATAAACAATTCAAATATAACATAAAAGTATTTAACTTTATTTAACTATACATTCATTGATGTAATGAAAAAAATTGATTTTATATCGATGAGTTCAATACATCGATGTTGATAATTCATTTATATCGTCTATAAATACACAAGTACATTAAATAATTAAATATATGATAAATAGTACTTGGTTTAGATATGCGAACGATGCTATGGTAGCTGGTATTTATTTTCATAAGCAATTCCATTGTAATATTACGGTTCGTTATATTAAGCCTTCACTTACGTCTACTTTATGCGCGTCGCACGATAATAAATTTTAATAGATATTGTCTACTCTAAAAAAGAAAAAAAAGAAAAAAAAATAGATGTATTATTTTGGCAGTCGTTGAGTAAACGAATATCATATGTATGCGACTGCATGTATCAACGTAACATTCATGGGAGTGTTTTTATGAATGTAGTAGAAGAATTCATTATTAATAGCTTAGAAGCGAATATTTTAAAATTAAAGACTTTACTCGCACATAGCCGTTCATTGAAAAACTATTTTCATTAAAGACGGTTTTTAGAATTATAGATACAGACCTATGATTATCAGAAATTTATTCATGACATTTACGTAATTTTACATAGTAAATCCATATTTAATGATGTTAAAGTTTATAAGATATTATTCTCTTTATTAAAAATATGCGAAAAAATTATATTACAAGCATATAATTGCAAGATAATTAATTGATGTTAGAAACTAATTCTATTCTTCTTATAATTTATTCTGATTTTGTATTTGTTTTTGTTTTGCTTTCAATTAAATTTTTTAAGTAAGGAATACTAAAAAGAAAATACCTTTAGTTTGATAATAGAAAGAAAATTTGCACTTTTAGATTTCAAATTAACTGTATTAATTAACATTCTATTGTCCTCATTATTATCCCTTCTTACGATTATAATAAAATAATAATAATAATAGTAATAATAATAATAATAATAATAATAATAATAATAATAATAATAATAATAACAACAACAACAACAATGACATAGCAATCAGCTTGCTTTTTTCATCTTAATACAGCATAATTTAATTCGTGATACATCATATTTAATTTAGCGGTGTGATAAGCTAATGTTTGTCAAATTTCAAATATCGAAGACAAGCCTTTTCATACTTCATTTTACAAAAGCTTTCAGAAGAAATTTCATGCCAAATTGTTACTAGATCAATATTATACTTACCTACTAATATTCCATGTTAATTATCAATTTACTAGTATGAAATAAAGAAAGTTTCAAAATATAATTTACCTGAAAGGAGACAAATCACCTAAAATAATAAACGCTCGCATGCCACTCTCACCTCTACCACCACCAATGCAATTGTCATTATGTAATATGAAAAATTGTTGGAATAAAGTTGTATAATAAATGTGCTGATACGCCTAAGGACACAAGGCCACTACATGATTCGAACACTAAAGTATAACGTACTTTTGCAATGAAACGACGACGTAGAGAAACAAACGGAGTACATTTTATCTAAGAGTACATAGTACGCAATGACCTAATATTGATTTAAATATTTTCCATCTCGAGAAAATTGAAAAAATTCATACGTAATTAGTGCGTTGTTCTAACTACTGCAAATTTACTCAAAATCTATAAATAACATGTAATTATATTATTATCGATTGTATGCATATTAATATTTTCTAATTCTGTCGACTTATTTACAATCGCGAGTGCAATGTTTGATATAATATTTAACGAGTAATTGAACATACGCGCACTCACAAAGTCAATTTCCATTCACAATCGGCTCCTCGGTTGCTAACGTAATAAACTGAAAATTTTTAAGATCTCTGTTTAAGCTTGCACCGATTAATTTTAATGGGTCATAATGTATTATTATCACTTATTTGTAAAAATAAATATCAAGTCCGCAGATTAAATTCTCAATCGGAATGTAATGTGAGAGTGATAAAGAGAGTAGCCACCGCGGCTGTATCAACAGTAGCAACCCCGTGCAATCGTCGAATATCGCACTAATTATTTTGATTGTGTCAATAATTATTTTAGTATTACAATTATGCTTAAGGAAACAGTGGTGGCCTCATTTTAAAGTTATATAGAAGGAACATTAGTGATTGTCGGCACACATACAGCACTTGGCAATGCTTACTAAGGACTACAAATCAACCTACACCCGATTATCTTCACCACACAAGTTTTTACATTCAAAAGTTCATGCACTCTGTACACACTATAAGAATTAATTGATTGAAAGTCAACGAAAGTAGAAGAGCTTGCAATAGACAAGTGTCACTTACTAATCGCCATACAATTCACCACATAATTTTCGTATTTATAAATATATTATATGAAAGGATGTGAACCTGATTAATGCTTACAAATATTCTAATTAAAGAAACACAAATAAGAAACAAACATAATAGAAAATTCGTTTTTGTTTTTATAAAAATTTCAAGTGAAATTAAATTTATATTGTGTTGATTTAAGCAGACAAATTCTTCGGCATTATTCGAGTAACGAGTACCTTAATAGTCATTACATTATAAATTCGAATAACAAATTGAATAAATAAAGACTTGTATATACAATTTTTAAATGAATCAAAATAAAAGAAAAAATTTTTTTTTTTATGCATGTGCGCGCGTGTGCACACACACATATAAGTACATAATTATATATATACACACACACGCTATTGCAAGGAAATACGTAACTTAATATCTTGAAGGAAATTTCACAAATTTAAATGATACATTAGAGGAGAAATAAATTCAGGTCCATGAAATGTGGCAAATGTTATAAACAATATATCTTAGAGACTATGAAAGATTTTTGTGCACTTTCAAACAATAATAAAGAAGTGAAAGTCCATTTTTATTATTGTTTCCATTTTCACCCAAGTTTTTTTTTTTTTTTTTTTTTTTTTTTTTTTTTTCCCATTTTCCCCAATTTTTTTTTTTTTTTTTTTTTTTTTTTTTTGTACCAGATTCATCCGTATGCAAGTATGATAATGCAAAGCTGCAAAGGCTATTAAGCCATTGTATTTAATTTTTAATGAGTGAGGTTTATTAGCTAACTACCCCTTTCTAATATAATAGATAAATATTAATTTTATGACACATTTCCAGTAGATGTTAAATGATTCACAAAATCCATATTCCATAGAAAAAAGACCCGTAATAGAAATTAGAAAATTGTTTTAAAAAATTAGTTACTTTCTATAGACTATGGAGTCTTAGGAATATATTGTACCAATATTACACCCTAAAATTTAATTAATAAACTCTATAATGTAATAATTAAATTTGTGGATGCATATGAAGTACAAAAATAATATTTACAGTAGTTGCCATTACTCGATAAGCTAATTTGAAGATAATTAAACCATAATCAATTTTTTAAAGCTCGTATTTATCAAGGTAAATGAAAAAATTAATGGCATCTATGGCAAATAATACAATAGATCATATGAGATTGATTGACTCACCTTGAATCGATTCGTGTAATATCCTTTCCCCAAAACTTGTACCGGGCTTGGAAAGTAAATAACCTGTTTCAATATTTCACATTAATTCATTAATTAATTAATCATTGCAAATGTGCGCATTATAATTGAATGAAATAAAAGTGTATTAACCTATATCTGATGACTTAGATGCATCTAAAGTATCGGTTGAAGATTGGTTTGAGTAAAAGGTTTGCGTAATATCTGGCTTCTGATCATTTTCCAATATATCTGGATTATCATCTAATTTATTAGAATTATCACCTGCGGCTTGTTCTTCGTAACTACAACTACTCCCATCTTGTTCTAAATATTCAGGCATTTCCGATTTCAAATTTGGCATTAAAGGAATTATTTCAACTGGATCAGATGCTGTTTGACTATCTGATTTGGCATTGTCGGCGTTTTTAGGAGAAAAAGTATGCCTGTACGACTTTTCCGAGTGTGTATTTGAATTTTCCCGACATTTTCTTCTTTTATTTGGTGGTGCTTCAGATTTTTGTGTATCTATCGAGTGATATGGTAATGGCGAACAAGGTGACTTATTTCCCCTGTTGTTTGTTATTACTCTTCCGGCTACATTCCTTAATTGTACTTCCGGTTCACTGGGAATTTCCACATCATCCTGAGAATACAAAATTTATTTACACAACTACTCATAAATATTTGTCTAATTTTTAAATGGACAATCGCGATACAAACATCTGCTAAGTTGTCATCTTTTCTTGAACCATCGGTGAGTCCTTGCACTGCTAATAGTTCAGCGGTTGTCATGAAACTGTCCAATTGTTCTTGAACGACATTAACTTCTCCTTGATAAATAAAGTCAACTAATGCAGCTAGATCATCAAATTTTACATTTCTGAATATAATAACCGGATGCTGACAAGGATTTTCCTGGTTGAAAAAAACAATACAATATTAAATAGAATAGTGGCAACAAAACGGTTCCAACACAAAGCTGTTTTCTTACCTTAAACAAATCTCGAAAATATGTACTACATGCCGATAACAGCATTTTGTGTGCTCTAATTCTTTTACCCTCGCAGCTTAGTGTCACATCCACAAGATCTTCATCTGAACGTAATGTGTCAAACGCAGATGTAATGTGCTTAAGGTAGTTATTCCATCGCAGGGAAAATTGCTGACTGGAGCCCATAATGCCTACCTATAATTGCAATAAAACAAAGGCGTTCATCAGTACATACAAGTATCCACACAAAGCATATACAGTGCATATGCATGCACACATGCCTACATGCATGCATGTATATATATATATATATATATATATAGGTATATGTGCGTGCTTGCACATATTCGCACAGTATACAGTTCGACCGCGCGCGTACGCGAGCATACACACACATTCACGCGCGCGCGTACAGATAGCACACAAATTAATAAATGATCAGGGAATGTTCCTTTAAATAAAGCTAAGTTAACTTCGATTCAATTATATAATTATTTTGATGAATGAATGCTTAACGTAACGAGCTTAGCTTAGACAGACGGAAGCGCGCGTACGAGCGTGAATAAACAATCGAAGTGATGGGGCCAGATGTAAAAGGTCGACCTTACGTATGGTAACGGAATAGCCCATTGAAAAAGTGATGAGGAAGAAGGTGGGGTAGGGAAGCGATGACGAAAGTCTACGATCGGGGGAAGAAAAGCCACGGTCGTGGAGGGTAAAAATTTTCGAGGTAAATCGAGAGCCGAAACAAGGTCTCTCTCTCTCTCTCTCTTCGCCTCTTCGCCTCGCCTCACCGTGCCTCGTGCGTGCGTGCGTGCGTGCGTACGTACGTACGTACGTACGTACGTACGTTCGTTCGTTCGTCGTGCAGCGCGTAAAACAAAAAAGGGGCCGTCGTGACGTTGAGCGCGGGGCGGGTGTTTGATGGAAGAAGGGTCCCGGGAGAGGGTGAAGGGGTGGGTGGGGAGGGAGGTTGTTACAGAGGGGCCAGAGGGGGTGGGTGGCTGTGTGCGTGTAATCGCGCGCGCGCGTGTGGGTGACTGGCGGGTGAGGGTAGGATGGGGTTGTAGTGGAGTAGCGAGGGTGGGGGCTGGGGCGCGGGGGGTAGCAGAGACGACGAGGGACGGTAAACGATGGAGGGCGCACGGCCCTAAAGCCTTGTTTTTTGCTCGTGCAAGCGCGAACGGCGCAACGAAAACTATTGATCACCCGCCCGCCACGCGCGCCTCCACAAGCGCGAGGGTACGGCTCTGGGCCCACACGAATATCGCCCGAGGAAAGCTGACAAGTGCCCAGGCTCTCTATATAGAGCAAATGGGTAGGCGGCTGAAGGGGGCGGAGTGGGAGAGGGGTACAGCGACGTCGGCGGCGGTTGGTCGGTTAAAGGGGGGTTCGGGCGATGGCGAGGGGGGAGGAGGCGCGAGTCGAGGAGGGTTTCGGGAAAGGAAAGGAGTTGACGGTAAGGGGCGTTGAAGGGACGGGAGGGGGCTTGGCTGGTTGGACGGATGGATGGATGGATGGATGTATAGATTGATGGATAGATGGATGGATGGATGGATGGATGGATGGGTGTATTGGATGGGTGGTTTGGTTGGGTGGTTTGGATGGGTGAATTGGCTGGGTTGATGGATACATGGACAGATCGACAGACGGACGGATGGACGGACGAATAGATGGACGGATTGATGGATGAACGAATGGATTGACGGACGGATAAACGAATGTACGGATGGACGGATGGACGGATGGACGGATGGACGGATGGACGGATGGACGAACGGACGAACGGACGAACGGACGAACGGACGAACGAACGGACGGATGGATCCCCGCGCTTGGGGAACGCGCGTCCGCGACACTCGACAGGCGTTAAGCGCTCTCAAGGCCTCTGGCCGTTGCTTGTAAATATACACGTCGCTTGTCAAGTGTCGACCACTAATGACGGCTGCAAAGATGCGGATAATCTCTTGTACACCGGGTCCCCGATGCCCTTAGCTATTCTCACGCACTGCGCAACCTTTCTCACTTTCGTTCGCTGGCGCGTCCTCGTCGTTTCGTTTCCCTTCTTTCTTCGATCTCTTCTTACTTCCTCTGCTGCGCTACTCGCACGGCCGTTTCGTGCGGACTCTCGCTCCGACTGCTGCGCCGCGGCCTGCGCTGCTCTCGCGCCTCGCTCTCGCGTTCTCCCTCCTTCCCTCCCACCCTCGCTCGCGCTACACGATCTATCTCTCTCTCTCTCTCTCTCTCTCTCTTGCACGCGAGCGCGCGCACGGCTCCTCGGCCCAGTCCCCGTTTTCCCAGTGCCCTCGCTCACTCGCGTTATCTCTCTCTTTTCTCTCTCCCTCGCTCGTTCGGTCACAGCAGGCCCCCGCCTTCTGTGCGCGCGCGGCTTCGCTCTATCTCTCTCCCCCGCACTCTCGCGGTGACGACACGTACATACGCGAGCGTGCACCGTCGTGTGCTTCTGCGATGCTGCTGTCGCGATGTGTGGCTCTGCTCCGCGCGATTCCTCGACCGAGCGCCAACAGAAATTAATAAGAGACGATAATATTTTCATCGACGCAAGCCACGCGTCACTCGCCACGACCTTACGTAATTTATAAATCGTTTTTCTTCTCCACCCCCTCCTCCATTGCCCATCGTGAGGCCGCTCGCGCTCGCGCATGCAATCGTCGCTCGCCTCTCCCGTCCCAACCCCCTCATCGACGTCGTCGGCCCCCGGGCCCCGAGGGTGGCCAGCGTTTGAGCGCGTACAGGATACGCGAGCCGAAGTGCGTCGTGAGCGCCTGAAAGCCGATTGCTCCCACTACTGCCCACCCGATGACAGATGGTAGCCATTTTCTTTTGGGAAAAAAGCCAACGAGCGCCTGTACACCCGTGCGCCTCGGCACCGCCACAATATCGGCGATCCTGGTTACCGCTCGACCCAGCCTCGCTCTACCGATCGACTCAACGCAGCCTGCCTCTCTCTCTCTCTCTCTCTCTCTCTCTCTTTCCGCCGCTCCCTCGCGATGCGACTTTCAGCACGGTTGCGAGCATTCAGGCCTCGTTAACGAGACGGAGGGGGCCGAGCACTCCCATCTTTTGTTACTTTCGCGTACTATAAATCTAACTAGAGGATCGTTAAGAGTGCGGAATTACGACACGGCTCCTCGTGCTTTAGCTGTTAAATGAATTTTACTTGGATTGGTCGCTGTGCGCTCTCGTCTGCCCGACACTACGTGATCCGCGCCTATCGACCCCTCCTCTCTTCCCAATCCCCCTTACATCCTAATAGTCACGCGTGCACCCGATTTGATCTCCGTATTTGATTTCGACTTAAACGGAATGGACGGTCGGTTATTATAACGAGTGAATTTCTTAATAATCAAGTTCTGTTCTTACGAGTGGTCTTAAGATCCCATTAACTGTTACTTCTTTCTGTGTACTTGCTTCTGATATTTCACGTACACGGAATACGGCCTTCTGAGTGTTTAGTAGGACGGAGTGGAGGAACGCGATTGGAAATGTGGAACAGAATGTTTGTGGTGTCGCGCGCATGCGTATTAAATTAATTAAATGGGCGTTTGTATTTAAAATGAAATTATTAAAAGACCTGGTGGTAGCACGTGCTTTTGCGAATGTGAGCCGAGGTGAAAAACCTGGCGAGGCGATCGAACGAATAAAGCCCGACTTGATGGTAAAATCCCGAGTGATATGATCGAATTTGGGGGTCAATCGGTGGTAGTTTGGTATACCTGTCGGATGGTTTTGTCTTGTTGGATTCGCGAGCCTGGGAGGCCGCCTCGGGAGCAAAAAATTAAATGCATAAGAATCGAGAATTGGCAAATCATGTGTAAAGGAATGAATGCAATTGGCTTTTGAATAGTAGAGCGATATTAGGGATATGGTATGTGATAATTGTTATACGTCCTTGAGTCGTAATTATCAAAGTAAAGTGATTTTATTTACTTAATGAAATAAGTTTATATCTGAATTTCGCGTTTGTGAAGTAAAATTGGGCATACGAAATTTACCGCATGAATTATCTTGGTTGCTATTGTTTTACGTTGTCTCTTTCATTAGGAAACTTTACGAAAATCGTTTTACATTTGAATTCTGTAATAAACATGTGTCGTTTTTTTTTTGAAGCCAACTAAGCAAATTCATTCAAGAATAGATTGATTAGATTTTACGACTCGTAACTCTTAAGTATCTTCTTAACAATTTATACTTTTCTCATAAGACAATAATAATCGCAATTAAATTATTTAATATTAGTCAAACCTTTCCTTAAGCTAGTTATGTTTTAAAATCGTTGTTGTTATTACTTAAATGCAGACCGATAAAAATACGAAAAATTATACTCTGTATTTATGTAAATACGTATATGCCTCTGCGGAATGAGTGTGCGCGCGTGTGTGTGCACGAGCATATTGTATGCGTTGATTACTTTCTTCGATCAAAGTATCTTATTTAGGTTTTGATATATAAATCAATTGTATAAATCTAAACAGTTATTTCGTATGATCCAGTATACTTGACTTCACCTGTCAAATTCATTCATACCCATGCTCATATATATATATATATATATATATATATATATATATATACATAAGTGTGTATCCCTATATGCATCATGCATATCCATATATAAATAAAAATTAATTTTATGTGCTAATCGAGACTTCTTTCACTCTATTATTAAGAACTTGGTAGAGGCATAAATCATTTATATACCAATGACATAATTATTGCAATGAATATTAAAATTAAAATAGAATACTGAAAATACTACGTATGCACTGTAATTTTAAACAGCACATTAATATCTCTATAAATTATAGAGTATGTAAAATAATGAATATTATTGAAAATATTTTTTTTTCTTTGATCTACAGGTTTAAACTATCAATGGATTCTTTCTTATTTTACATCAAATAAAATTAATTAGAGACTAAATCTGATTATTTAGTATGAAAATTATAACAAAGTCATAAGGAATATAGTTATCTCAAATAGATTAACATTAGTAATTCGAAAATTAACACAGTGCACATTTTTATTATAAACTAAAATTTTATTATGCATTGAGTTAGATAATTGATATATAATTTGGGTATTAGTATTTGTTTGACAATCATTTTTTGTACATATAAAGAATGACTTATTAATTATAGAAAAAATACGGTTCTTTTCAATATATACTTAATATAAATGAGTGGTAAAATTCAATTAAAAAAATAAAATAATATTCATAAGAATTTCTATAATCCAGCCTAATGCAATGACAATAATTAATTCGTATGAAACGAGAACAAAAATTTAGGCTTTTGGCAAGAAAAAAAAAATTTGAAACACTTTGGTTTATTTACTGAAAATAGCATTTTACATGGCCAGTTTAGGATGTGTATGTACAGAAGTAATAAAACTATATTTTTCTATCGCAATGTAATTTAAATAATTATAATTTTACTTTTAATATGTATTTTCAGTATAATCATGTTAACTAAACTAAAATAAATCAATATTTTTAATCTACAGGCTTTAAAAATTTAGGTTTCTTTCTTCTGGGCTCGTTACTGTTCTCCCTATTGCGGCTAATATTATGTACGTTAATTTTAGTAGTAGATTTCCAAATTTTAGACATTTGTTTGTCTGATATATCGGTTTCATTATATTTTATTTTATTATTATTTTCTTTCTTTTCTTGGGCTTCGTGTTCCATTATTCTTTCAATTTCATTATTTTCTCCATGGAAACTTAATCTTCCATCGATTAACTGTTCACATAAAATATAACTTGGTTCGATAATATATCGTCCACTGTAAAAGAAATAATTAAAATATTGAGTCTAATAAGTCAATGGTACACAAAAGTTGCAGCATGCAAAATTATACTTACGCATGTTTTGCTAAACCTTGCTTATTAAAATACTCTTCGCCTTCTTTTTGATATGCTTGCTTATCAACTTTATCTTTTGTTTTTTTCATAAACTAAATATGAACTTATCGATAAATATAATTCAAAATAAATAAAATTAAATTATCAATATTTTTATACTTACTTTCATTTCTAGGATTGATTTTGACAAACTAATCTTGTTTGAATCTTTCGAGGCCATTTTCAATCTAATATATATATATATATATATGTAATTGTAATTTTTAATAATTCTTTAATAAACAATTTTAAAATAAAAATATTCAAATATTTATAACTTTCGAAATTGAATTTATTTATTCAAAAAATTTATTCAATGAAAAAAAGTAATTCATAAATTTTTCATAAATTACATTAAATTTCTATATTTTTCAGTATTTTCAGTATTGTTGGTTAATTAATAAGGTTAGGTATCCACATTGATAAACTGCAAGATCGAACAAGATTAAATTCAAAGATGAATCTTTTTTAACTTATGTGAATTATTATTCCACTATCAGTTTATTATTATCAATTATTATTCCACCTCAGTGACTGGACAAGTTAACGGTAAATTTGACGTTAAACAGTAAATAAGCAAATAAAATAATATTTCAATGGATAATGCTTTTCATTAGATGATATTCTTTAATGTTTTATTAAGAAATTCTATTGGCAAATATATGGAATAATCGAAGTATAATAAATTGTTGTAAAATGACGATTTTATAATGGGACTAAGCGATAGCGATGGAAAGCCTACCTGCAAAATTCGTTCTTCACTTTCGACTCTAAATTTAAATAAATTGAAATTATAAAAAAAATTCTTCTTTCACCAGTGACTATTATGATATGACAAAAACATTTGCAGTTAACATTTAGCGCCAGCCACGGCACTTGTATGCACCTTATAAACACATGCATTAACTGTACAATAGTGGTAAAGTAATATATGAATATAAGATACTGTACAGTAATTTTGACAATTAGTCTAACATGGCAGTCAATTTAGTGTAAATGGAATTTTTCTTTTTATAAAGATTAGTATTTTTTAAGATATTTGATTAGAATAAACGATGGAAGCTAGTGCGAGTACGGGAACTCGGACGACGCGATTTATGATGGAAGGCGTCGGTGCCAGGGTAATTCGAGGTCCTGAATGGAAATGGGGAAAACAGGTTAGTTAATATGAGGTTATAACTTATATTTAGTAAAATGTACGTATTTGTTTGTTTATTTTTGAATAATTATTGAAGTTATATATTTCTATTAAAGATTTATTGAACTGTTGTCGTTGTATGTTTGAATAACATTTCAGAATATATTTTGATTTTTAAGGATGGCGGGGAAGGGCATGTGGGGACAGTTCGAAATTTTGAATCACCCGAGGAAGTGGTTGTCGTCTGGGACAATGGTACAGCAGCCAATTATAGATGCTCCGGAGCTTTCGATTTACGTATTTTAGATTCAGCGCCAACCGGTGTTAAACACGATGGAACTATGTGCGATACTTGCAGACAACAACCAATTTTTGGGATTAGATGGAAGTGCGCGGAATGTAATAATTATGACTTGTGCTCTATTTGTTATCATGGAGATAAGCATCATCTACGTCACAGATTTTATAGAATTGCAACACCAGGGAGCGAAAGAGTTCTTTTGGAGCCAAGAAGAAAAAGTAAAAAAGTAAATAGAATGAAATACAATAAAATATGAATACTATATTTCCATGGTTGTTGAAAAGTTAAATAATTACTTTTTTGTTTTTATTACTTTTAGATAGCAATACGAGGTATTTTTCCAGGAGCCAGAGTTGTAAGAGGCGTCGATTGGCAATGGGAGGATCAAGATGGAGGAAATGGACGCAGAGGAAAAGTTAATGAGATTCAAGATTGGTCTGCAGCAAGTCCACGTTCAGCTGCTTATGTTATTTGGGATAATAGTGCCAAAAATTTGTATCGTGTTGGTTTTGAAGGGATGGTTAGTATTTTTATGATTGTCATTACATTGGAAACGTACAGTGGTCTTGTATGACTAACTTCTACGGTAGTCTTATCATTATTTAAATAATCACGCTGAACTACTACAATTAAACTAATAACTAAAGGTATAATTCAATTTTTTTTCTTTCTATTGAAAATGATAACTTTATTGTAGGCTGATTTAAAAGTAGTTAATGATGCTAAAGGACAGACTGTATATAGAGATCATTTACCACTTCTTGGAGAACAAGGTCCAGGACGTGCTGGTCCTCATGGCCTTCAAATAGGAGATCAGGTACATTGACGATATAATTGGATCGTTACAAATCATTACGTTTATTAGTGTTTAAAAATCTTTTGTGCATATTTATTTCATTTGCTATTTACTCTCTCTCTTTTTTTTAAAAGGTTAATGTTGACTTGGAATATGAAATAGTAGATTCGCTTCAACAAGGGCACGGAGGTTGGACTGACGGCATGTTTGAATGCCTCAGTGCTACTGGGACCGTTGTTGGTATCGACGAAGACCATGATATTGTAGTTTCTTATCCTAGCGGAAATCGTTGGACATTTAATCCTGCTGTATTAACAAAAGTGCAAATATCAGTGCCGGTTATAAATTCAATCACTGATAATCCTTCATTTGCCGTTGGAGATTTAGTACAAATTTGCAATGATTTAGATAAAATTAAATTATTACAGCGTGGTCATGGGGAGTGGGCTGAAGCTATGGCACCGGTATATTTACATTTATCCTTAAATAATATAAAGTAATTGAATTTGTAAGACATTTTGAGAAACAAAATTTTGTTTACAGACGTTAGGAAAAATTGGAAGGGTCCAACAAATTTATCACGATGGTGATCTGAAGGTAGAAGTTTGCAGTACATCTTGGACGTATAATCCACAAGCTGTAACGAAAGTAGCAAGCAGTGATGGTAGTGTAACAGGAAACAGTAGTGGTGGTTGGTATAATTATATTTCTAGATTATAGGTCCTGCGATGTAATTAATTTCTTTAAATATAATCTCTTCTAAATTTATTGCTATTATCTATTTAAATAAGCATAAATTATGAATTTATATAAAGTGTAGTTTATTGAACATCATAAAATATTATGTCAATCTAATAATACATCTATAATAATTGCTCATTTATTAATTTCATGACCTGTATAACTTTATAAATTTTATAATTCTTTAAATACCTTGATTTATAGATGCATGTAAATTTTAATATTCTTGTTTTTTCCCAGAACGACTTTCAGCACTTTTGAAAAAATTATTCGAAACGCATGTATCTGGGGATGTTAATGAAGAACTTGTAAAAACGGCTGCAAATGGTGATACTGCAAAGTGCGAGGAATGTTTAAAGAGACCCGAGGCTGACGTTAATGGTATTTTTGCTGGTCATACTGCATTACAAGCAGCAAGTCAAAATGGTCACCTTGATATAATTAAAATTCTTCTTCGATATAAAGCAGATGTAGAAATTGAGGTGAAACATTATTTAAATGATTAATATATTCAAAATTATGTCGACATGGATTTTTCTATATAGTCGTAATAAATATTACAGCTACGATCTAATAATTTCTTTTTGATATTAATATAATCTTAAATACACGATACGTTATAATGAACGGAAATGCTAAGTTTTTTGTTATAATTATAGTAAAGTCACGAGGCGAATGAAATTTAATTTATTTTTTGAAAAAATGTGAACGAAAAAATATTTCATTTTTTTATAGTAAACTTAATTTCAGGATGACTTAAATTGTATAAAAATATAAACCTATCGACAAATTTTTAACAAGTTTCTTTTCTATTTTTACTTATTAATAATTAACATTTTTAGGATAAGGATGGTGATAGAGCAGTTCATCATGCTGCATTTGGTGATGAGCCAGCCGTAATGGCATTATTGGCAGGAGCTGGAGCAGATCTAAATGCTCGAAATAAAAGACGTCAAACTGCATTGCATATTGCAATTAATAAAGGGCATGCCGGAGTAGTTCGTACACTTTTAGAAATTGGTTGCCATCCTAGTCTTCAGGTAAATATTTTCTATTTATTTTGTTGGAGACATTTTTCTAAAAATATTTCTAATAATCGGAGGATTTTTTATCATCTATTTCAATGAAATGTTTAAAATTTCTTTTATACTTGCAAAGAATTTCAGATTATTTATAATTATTCAGTCGTAATACTATACGTTTATTTAACTATATTATACGTTTTCTTTTACTTTATATTTATAACGAAGATAAAATTTAAATGCTTCAAAATATTAATAATTTAAGGATGTAATATAAAAATAGGAATGTACCATTTATTTCTATTAGATTTTCATCTAAAAAGATCAGCTAATAAATAAAGCTTTTTGTATAAAATATTCTTCCACCGTGTATTTCTGTTGTAAGTTTTAATAATTTTAATAAATATTATCATAAAAATAAGACATTTTATTTTTAGAAGTAAGTATTGTTAATACATGTGAAAATGGTCATTTCTCTATAATCACCGCAAAGTATTATTTTTAATTTTTTTAATTGAAAATAAAGAAGAAACAGTATAACATAATTTGTTTAGATCATAATATTATTGAATCTTAAATTATGTATGCAGCATTTAAATACTAGATTGAGTCTAGATGAAGTCTAATCATAAAATCCATGCAGCTAATCTAATTAATTAATTATGAATAATGAATTAAAATAAGAATATTATTAAATTTTGTTGAAATTATGAATGAAAGAAATTATGAATGAAGTTTCAATATATATATATATATATATATATATTATATATTATTACTATATACACATCTACATATTACTATATACACATCTACATATTACTATATATACATCTATATATTACTATTATCTAATGAATTAGTCCTAGCTAATGAACAACAATAATTCTTTATTGAATAATTAATTAATCAATAATAAAGTGAATTTGATAAAAAAAATACACATTAAAAAATTAATTCTATTTAATTTAGCACTATAGATTTGAAATCACTTATCGTTATATTTTCTTTAGTAATTATCAACGGTATTTACATTATATTAAAGTAATTTTCCGATTTGAAAAGAAAGAAAAATTCTAATTAAATAAATCAGTATCCAGTATAAAGTTGAAAGTGACGTTTTTCATATACATATTTATAAATAACACTTATTCTTTAATAATTGAATTTGATTGGAAGAATTTTATTAACATTTTTTTCTTCTTTGAATTATTCTTTTTCTTTTTAATTGTATATCGTATGACCTCTGTGGTTATTCAGTATTAAGTATAAAGTTAATTACATTTTTTTATACATTAACATTTGTTATATTGAATATGATTGAATGAAATATGAATAATAATTATTTGTTATTATATGTATAATAATCTTAATAAATTAATTAATCGAAATAAAAGTTATAATATGATAAAGCGTATTTAAGGTAAGAATTAATACTAGATCAATGATAATTTATTATTTCAAAAGAATATTTCAAAACTTTAATTAAAATTCGTTTTATTGAAAAATCGTAAAACTATATTTCATATTTTCTTTACGTCGCCTCTTCCACTTTACTCTAAAAAAAAAACACATTGTTATTTAATTATCTTTATTATTTAAGAAAATCTTTGTTTGGGCTAATAATTTGTTTTAGTAAAATCTGTTGTTAATAGATTTAGAGTGTAGTTAAAAGAAATATAACGAAGCACCTGGAAAGTGATCATTGATTGTCTTTAGTTCAATGACATAAATGACATAATTGACATAAACAATCTGATTTTAGCTCATTGCTGTATACAATACATGGTGTATTTATAAAAATTTCGATTAAAATTGAATTTTAAGCTAATGTCACTGCTTTCCGCATAAATAATTAAGACTATTATAGATTATTGTACATATTAAGAAAAAATATTATTCTTAAAATATTGGATTGGTCGAATGGAGTGCGGGAGAAACGAAAACTTTTTGAAGCGCAACTTAACAATTTAAGAGTATTGTTATGATAAATCAACTAAGGCTTGAAAAAAAAATGTTATACGGATATAAAAAATTTTCAACGAATCTACCGTACTCGCCGTACTACTTTTTCTTTCTTCGCGTCACACTCCACACCATCTATTCCACTTCCACTTTTCCGGCGACGAGAATTTCGCCTGATAACGGCTCTACCAAATCCTCTTAATCCAAAGCAGCCATTTTTTACGGCATTCTAAGCTCGAGCGTGGTTTTATTTCCTTTTCGGATTTCCCTACGCTGAGCTACCTCGTTAAATCTCATTGCAAGACGGCCATGCAAGATGCATTATCATGAATAATGACTAAAGATATTCTGATATTTTATATGAGCTAAACATATTTTGTTTTTACAATATTCAAGATTTCCTTCCCCAATACTACGCCCCATTTCAATTGCATGCGACGTATACTCGAATTGTCTAATAATTAATAATTAATAATTAAAAATTATATATACGTTAAGGATTTCAGTGGCTTGAGCAACCCATGTTTTGAATGTGAGCCAGAAGTGCAATAAATATTCGCTACACAAGTGCGCAATAATTCACGGCTTGTTCTCAAGAAACTTGGTAAAATGCTCTGTCCACACGACGAGCCTAACAAAGTTATTTATTACATTTACGAATAAAGTGCTAAATGAAAATAAAATTTTTACATTCGTTCATTCATTAAAATTTGCAAAAGCTCAAATGATTAAATTCCTGTTGTTTTAAACTTGCTATTAGGATTTAATTAATAATTAGTTAATAATTAAACGAAACGCCGTGAAAAGCTAGGACCTGCAAGTATTATGTATATTATAATAATCTTGATATGCACCAAATTAATTTGATTAGCTTAATTTGATTCATTATAATAGCGTTTGATAAATTATTCTTTATATTAAATTGGATTCATTTTAGGTACATAGATATTTCACTATCATATATTTACATTGTATTATGTAAAATTCAAATATTGGCATACATTGGGTGAAATATATTTTGAGATTTTTAATATATTTAAATCATCGGGAAGATACATCTTTAACTGCGATAGGATATTTTCTTTTTTAAAGTTACATGCAGAAAATCTCGCATCTTGTTCGCTAAAGGTGGAAAAAGGAGCAAAAGAAGGGGGAAGAAAAGTTGAAAAGAATTTGTGAAGTCTTTGGAAAAAGTCGGTAGACTTACAGGCAACTCCAGCCCCAGAGTCATAGACACGTACGCATACACATATAGAGCGAAGAGGTATAAGGTTTTCGCGGCAGCGGTTAAATACTTTAATCTTGCCAACATTTCGCGGTCGTTCGTTTTTCTTTCTTTTTTCTCCCTTCTCAGTTCCGCGTCCCAATGCGAGTTTTTTTCGGCACACAGAGCGTCCACGTGTAGTGGATTTTCGTTTTCGTCCGCCGCTTTCCCTCTTCTCCGGCGCAAACGAATCTCTGAAGATGTTGAAGAAAGAGTGAGCGAGAAAGGCAGGGGGAAAGGGAGATAACAGTGTTGTAGGATGGTCGTGGGGGATGACTGGAGCTAGGTTTCCAACGTGGCAGCACTAGAGTCTAGACTCGATAGATGTAAGCTCGGTAAGCCCTACTTCTTAACTAGTCCGGGAATAAGGCTTTTGCCTGGGAAAATCCTTGAGAGTGCAAGTATCGCGTCGATTCGGAACCGTGTGCAGCAACCTAAATGTTCCCAACTTTATCCTTCCATAATATGTACACACATACGCGCACGCGCGCGCACACACACACACGCACACACGCACACACATATGAATACGTAAGCGCGGACAAGGCGAATCAGTCCATTTTATCGCTATATTTTTAATGAAAGAGGCCAAACTTGCAATGTTTCATCGATGTGTTATAAAAAAAAAAAAAAAAAAAAAAAAATACAAATATTTAATGATAGCGAGTAAGCTTTCCTATACGCGTTCTTTACAAATTTTCTTATTTCACTAGGAGTTAAGCCAGAACTGAAAACGATTGTGATATAAAATAAATATTACTTTACAATTAATAATAAATTCCAATTGTGTACATTCTTATACTTTTTTTCGTCTCTCTATCAATTAAAAGAATATTTTACATTATTTTTGATGTGTATACATCCAATTCTTCTAATATTACGTATAATGAAGTACTTTTACGTGTATGTAGTTTCTAACATTGTAGCTTATAATATATTAAAAGAAAAATTTTATTTACATTTTATGTCAATTGAATCATTGTTTATTTATAAATGCACTTATTTAATCAAAAAAGATTATTGAATTGACGTTGTGCATTAAAAAACATAATATATATAAACTTTATAATATAATATGTGTAAATATTGCAGTAGAAATTTGTGATGCCATTAGATGGAAGCCATTTGCATCATTATTTTAAATATTAAAATTCTATTATTATAATTATTTTCATCGTCATTATGATCATTAATGATTCTTCGCAACGAGCGAAGCATTAATTATTAAGTTTATTTCGGATAATTTATCGATAAATGCAGATTTCAGTACTCGTTACTTTAGATCAACATTATCTTGTTTTTCAAATAAAGTTCTCGGCATATATTTTAATATTTCTTTGCAAATTATGTTAATCGATTTGTATCAAAATATTAAAAATTTATACAATGAAACATTATGATTATATTAATTATAGTAGTTTATCGACATACACGGATCATACATTAATCTATATCATTCTTTTCTTTTTGTTACAAAATGTACATATTTATGATATTTTTAAAAATAATTTATCAATTGTGATCCAAAACGTTGGCCTTTACTGTCTAGCTTCTAGAGAATATTATGTTCTGCTCTTAGATATTTATTTGTAATTTTTGTTTTATCGCCAATACATTGCCATAATAATAAAAATATTTTGTAATTAATAATTATTCAATTCAATTAAACCGCTTAAGTATTTTTTACAATTTATATATACTTCATTGTCGTAAAATAATATTCATAATAGAAAATATTCAATTATAATGAATTTTTACCGAAATAGAAGGCTAATGATTTTTGAAAAAGATCCGGAATCGACAGAAATGCGGGAGTAATTTATCGTATTACTATAATTCGCTCCCTTTCTGTTAAAATGCTGATAATGCTGATAAAATTCTGTGACTGAATAGTGATATCTTCTATATATTTGTTATAGGATTCTGAAGGTGATACACCACTCCACGATGCCATTTCCAAGAAACGCGATGACATGTTGGCTCTGTTGTTGGACCACGCAGCTGATATCACTCTCACCAACAACAATGGTTTCAATGCTCTGCATCATGCTGCCCTTCGCGGAAATCCGAGGTAAGTCAATATATACCTTTAATATTGTGGTTTAATATGGTCCTTCTAAAATATGGATTATGGTAAATCCTTTACTAATTTATGGAGGAAATATTAATTGGATAATGGGAAAGTTGAAATTGTGCAATTTATTTTTCATTTCATTCTTCGTTCGCGTTTAAATATGAATTTTATCTAGAAAGCCTCGTTCGCATAATTGCAACGGCGTATCGACAACTTTTGTTAAAAAGTTTCGGGACTTTGCTCCTAAGTGTGTTATTGTTTTTTATGCGGCATAATTAACGATTGTCTATTATAGTATATTTTTATGCGAATAATACGTAGACTTGGTAATTACAAAGTTTTTCACGTATCGCGACAAGCTAATTGTGTACGATGTATAATCGCGCAATTGGCTTCTTTTCATATTCGAATATAAAACTGACTTTACGCCGAGGATTGCTTGCTCTCTTTAAATGTCCCAGGAGTCGGCGGAGAACGAATTCGAAAAATTTTCAGGAGGAAGTCGTTTATGCATAGTAAAAATGTCGCATCGGTAGTACGGCTATTGACATTAAAATGCTTTCATTGTCATACAGATAAGTTTAGCATTTACACTTCCAATTGAAGCGTAAGTTGGAAAATAAACTTTCATTGGCTTTTTTAAGTTGGGATAAATTGTAAGTTTATGGCTGTTTTTTGAATACGCATTTTTTATATATAGATGCGGCTTCGCGGAGTTACATGTAATAATAATAATAATAATAATAATAATAATAATAATAATAATAACAATATCATAGCGCAGAACGGAGATACAATGTAACGATGGAAAGATTAGATTTTTATTCTGCTACAAAATAAAAAATTCGTAAGACAAACGAGTCTACGAGATTTAGAATTAGAGAATTAGAGAATTAGTCTGAATGTGCATTGCATTCTAAACACGTATGCGTATACAAAAGACTTGATTAATGCAATTTTCACGTATAGATGTGATAAAACGCAAACTTTGCATCGCCATTCTAAATTTTTATATAATTTATGTGCACATGTATAAGCTTATTTTCAAGAAGAAGCATTTCAGTATTTTAGCATATCGTAAATATGCACTAGCGGCAAAACGGGAAACTTTCTTTAAGTTAAAGATAAACCTTAACGAAGTCTAATGTCAAACTATAATGAATATATATATATATATATATATATATATATATCAGATTGAAAATACTTTTTTAATGTAATTTTTAAATGTAATTTAAATGAAAATTATTGATTATACGTAAGGGGAGATATAATTGAAAGTTTATTTTATTTCACCGTATGCCTGTAAAAATTGAATCGCACCCGCTGGCATTATTGTCTTCGTAGATTCGACCGACGAACATAGCTTATTTTTCAGTCTTAACGGTTGCTCGAAACAGTGGAGTTGACAAGAAACGGCCAGTTTTCCTTGTGCGGTAAGTTTTCGTGCCTTGCCGTATCCAGCCACTCTCTCAATAAAGAAAGTGCTCCGCACTTCCTAGCAATATCTCACTAAATGAAATCAGATGCAGCGCGAGTGAGTGGAGAGCTGCAATTCTAAGCCTATTTCCATTAAATCAATACTAGCTCATAATAAAAGTACCGAGGCCATTGGGAGCGTCAGTTCAGCGATTGAAAAGAAACGCCAGTCACCGTTTTGTCCACGCTTCCAATTTCGCTCGGCTTATCCGGGGCCGTCGTGGGGTGCAGCCGAGCAAGGGCAGGGACACGTAGCGCATGCCAGGCACGATTAAAATTTCGCCGAGCATGTCCTGCATCTGGGACTCGGACAGGGGCGGGGGAGGGGGAGATTCGTGACACGTAGCGGGGCGGATGCCGTGAGCCGCGTTTCTCGGGCCCTCCACCTCGAAGAGAGACTCCCTTAAAGCCCGGCGCCTTGGAGCGAGTTCAGAAAGCGAGGACGCGCCTGAAATATTGGCAAGACGCGCTGCAGACAAAAGACGAAACTATAAATTCTTTTGACGATTTGAGGAACTGTGCTTCGGGACGAGCGCGCGGAGTCACGGCGAGGAGCTCGTAAAGTTCGTTGGCTGAAAAATAGAAGAGCTTTTGTATTGCGCTTGTTTCGTTATCGACGCGTTTCAGGCCGGAGGGCGACGCTCGCTTGTCACACGTGAAAGTTATTCGATGAAATAGCGTAATGCGGGCCCGATTTTTTCGTTCCGTTTTACTAGAGGATTGGGCGTGATCCGATAATCGCTTAAAATATCGACTTCGATGTTACATTTTTATTTGCCCGATAATAATCTTGGAGATTAATGATACTACTACTACAACCACCACTACTATGACTACTACTGCTACTACTGCTACTACTGCTACTGCTACTGCTCTGCTACTACTACTACCACCACCACTACCACAACCATTACTACTACTACTACTGCTCTACTACTACTACCGTGGTGGTACTACTACCACTACCACTCCTACTACCACTACTACGAAAACTACTATTACTACTGCTACTACTTTTACTACTATCATTATTACTACTACTCCCACTACTTCTCTATGCTGTCTTTCGCCGTAATAAACAATAGCATCGTTAGATAAAGTAGTAAAAATATCTTTTAAGATCAAATATAAGATTTTTCAGCTGTCTAAGATTCCAAATAAAGATTCTTCGTGAATGCCTCTTGCTGATGAAAAAGTGCCGTCTTTTGGTAGATAACTTCTTCCTTGATAAAGTATACGTATTTGTGTGTATACGTATGTATATGCATGTATATATATATATATATATATATATATATATATATTATCACATCTTAGTAAGAACGTTAAGGTTCTATCTCCAAAAATGCTTTCCACTGACAAATATGTGTTAAATTACGAACGAGACAAATTTTTATTCGTTTTGTGTTGTATTATTAGTATGTCGTTCAATTTAAAATAGCCGTAATATTTGAATTATTCGAAAAATTAATGATAGTAGTAATCGTAAATAATAATAAAATAACTCAAGCTGTGTTTATTGGATCGAAGGTTATCGATTCAATGATATAACAAGACACGTTACTTAATACTTGTGTATATTTTACACATAAGAAAAAAATTAAAAAGAACTAGAATTTCGGTTTTTTCTTCTTTTTCATTATATTAGTTGAGACACTAGTTTCAACAAATTAGTTAGTTTGTCTATAAACACAAAATTACCTCCTATACTTGTTTTAATTATTCTGTATATCGTATATCTAGGTATTTGTCAAGTACTTAAATAGTTTAATAGAAATATTTCGAATATTTACTGTGCAAAATAGTTAACTATCCTACTTAATTATAATACCAGAACTATGAAGTGTGCTTTATCTTCAAGTAGTCCCATCAGTACGTTTACTGCTTCTGAATTTCAAATTAGAAGATCATCGTATTATTTTAATCCTGCTAAAATTATATAAAGACAATACTAGTAGAGATTTTATTAGAATTATAGGAGTGTTAAAAATTTAAATAGCGTAGATGATTTTTTCTGAAGATATTCTTTTATACTTACGACTCATGTTTATTTTTAGACATCAATCCTATTTATTACATACTAAACATCAATGCAAATAAATTCATACTAAATGTGAATTTTAATATATATATTCGTTAATTAAAATTAAATCTCTATTTGTAATAGAAAAATATATTTTTGTATACTGCGATTAATAAAAATTTGAATATATTTCATTTATTAGTATTATATTTCGAGTAGATATTTTAAAATTCAATTATTTTTTTACTTACTTAACGAAAAAATCAATAACTTGTGTCTTATTTTTTAATTCATACATTTCATAAAAGCATTTCTAATAGTTAGAAAGAAAAAAAGGAAAAAAAAGAATAGACTAAATGATACAATAAGACTTATTTTTTTATATATATATTATAGTTTTTTAATTTGATTTGAGTTGAGAGAAGATTTTCTTCTTAATGAAAAATAATTATATTAAGTATATATTACATAATAAAAATAAATAATTGAATAAAATTAAGCGATAAAATTTGTTGAAAATTATTTTAAAATTTAATGCTGTACTTATGTAAAGGAAGAAATAAGTTAATTTAATTTGGATTGTATAATCTGGATTTTAAATGAATTATATTAATTTTACATTTTATAAATGTATGAAGATGTGTAAAGATTTATATTTCTGAAAGATTTTTTATATACGATACTATGAATTTGTAATTTTTCTTTAGTTTATAATATAACTATTTTCTTACATTCTTGCAGTCTTATTGGAAATTTATATTTATATACTTCCATAAAAATATCGTGAAAAATCTGATTAGTCATGAAATTTGAGTACCTCGTGTTGTTGTAGCGAGTATTGAACTTAGTAATATTTATTAAGAATATTTTAAATTTATAAAATTATCTTATAGCTTATTTTAATATTATGGCAGATGCTCTTAATTAGGACAAATAGATCAAAATGTTATTTTCTTATTATTTTTCATGAGGCTTGTGATATATGGTAAATATTCGCGTTAGAATAATATTTAAATACTATAATATAAGCATTATATACTATATACTATAAGCATTATTATCAAAATATATTACAGTAAAGTTTACTAATTTACTTTTCTCGAGGTAAAGTTTAGAATTTATGTACATTATTCCTTGATATAAATTATTTCGTAATACAATACATTATGAATAATTTCATAATACGTATAATTTCGTCTGTACAATTTTAAAATTAATTAATTATGCATTCGATATTCGATAGACTTTTAATGTGTAGTATTATCTCGAATTTTACTAAGGATACCGAAATAAATTGCATTAAAATAAAATTTAATTTTTCAAATCATTATCGTTTTGATTAATGAAGACTTTTCACGTTTTCTGCAATATATATTTTTAAAAAGATCTTTATAAATTTTAACGATCAAATTCTATTAGTTTCCTAATGTAATAATATGTTGAAACGAGATTTATATGAAAATTTGGACTGCATTTTTCTCAAATGAACTTTTTA